CCGCCCCCCCCCCCGTACCCCTTGCTTGCCTCTCGTGCCTGATGAGCTCCAGCTGCCCTGTGCACACATGTGCTCTGCACACTCCTGCTTCCACCATTGTGCAAGGCCACGGGCCCAGGATCCCTGGGCTCCATCCGTGCATGGAGTGGCACTGGTCAGGTCCCCTGAGTCCCTGTGCCTTGGGGCTTGTAGCCCTGCCCTGCCCTACCCTGCCACCCCCAGGTGGCATTAAGAGCCGGGCACATGGCCTCTCCTCAGTAGGCACCTGCATCCTGCAGCACGCCCCAGCCCACCATAGTGTAGCCAGGAGGTGTGGCGGGCCAGTAGGGGGCGCTCCTGCGTTGAGCCGCCCACCTCTCTGCGCCCGACCACCTTCCCGGCCCCGAGCGCCTCCCTGGGGCGCCTCGTGTCCGGCTGACCCCCTTCCTGGAGCACACGCACTAGCCCGGGGGGTAACGTAGCTGCCACCACCCTGAGAAGGGACTGCGGCCCTGTGTCCTCAGGGAAACACAGGCCTAACGTCCTATGGGTACTCAACCCAGTACAGGCACTTGGGGCACTTCCCCGAGTCGGGGGCCAAAAAGGAAAGTCTCCCTTAGTCCACAGACCTAAGGGGTCTCTTAGGCATAATTTACACCCACCCCTCAATAAGTCTCCTACACCGGTCACAAAGGAGAACTTTATTGATTACAGGGGTAGGGTGAAAATAGGGTACAGGATAGAGCAGTCTCATAGAAATCCCATATAGCAAAACAGTCTGGCTGAGGTAGCCTTTTGATCACGCATCTGCGTTACTGCCAGCTAGATAGCTAACCAGATCTTGAGTAACTTACTCACAAGCATCATCCCAAGGCTGTTGGAGATCCCCTCTGGAGGCAGGCCGTTCCTCACTCATGAGTTATGGGGGAGAGAGCCAGTTTCAGATGGTCAAGCTCCTCTCTAAATCTGAGTCTCCCGCATGGCTGCTGCCCCCTCCTCCTGGGCAGTCTTAACATATAGCCCCGTGACCTCGTTCACCAGTGGAGGCCAGCTCCGGTTGGCTGTCGGCCAACCAATTTGAAATACATCACTAGTTGCCAGGCAGACTCTAGCCTACCAGGTAGAAGTCCCTCACCCAGGTAGCTGATACCAGT